CAAAAAGTTTTAAAAACCAAAAAAACTTATAAAAAATCTTTTTTTTTTTTTAGCCTGTGGCCCTGTAACTGGATGGTTGCCAGTTTAAATCCCAGTTTCAACTTGTGTGTATCGTGGGGTAATTAGTCGGGGGTTTAATGGGTAGATTGAATTCAAAAATGTATTAAAGTAAAGAGAGTAGTGTTCAGTTTTCGGGGCTTGAAAAAAAAAAAAAAAACCTGACAAGAGTTTGAGGGTAAGAAACATGTTGAAGTTGTTGGAGAAGAGTCTGAACGTTTGTTTAGTTATTAAAAAAAAAATCTACACATACATTAATATAAACATCACTGTCATACTGACTTGTAGCTTGAATCATATAAAAATAATAAATATGAAAATAATTATTGACTCACATGTGAAGTGTTTTCTAGGTGGCTTTTAGTCAAGAATTTGGAATACCTGGGTGTGTCCAGGAATTTTGATGAAAAAAAGTGTTTAAAAGAAAAAAAACAACTCAAGAAACTCCAAAGACAGCAGCTGGGTTGATCTACCCACTGGTACAGGGGGTTAAATTCTGACCAAACTCCAAAGAGTTTTTAGGGAGTGGCAGTAAAGAACTCTACAGATAGATAATGGGTCGGGGTCTGATTTCCCTGGTTTCCCTGAACTTCGCAGGTCTGTCCAGACGAGGTCAGGATAATTTATGGACCAGGACCACAAGTACACAGTGAACATGACCTCATGAGCATTGAGCATTGGGTCCGGTTCCAGGCACAGTGTAGAGGCCAATAAAAACATACCTCACAGGATGACAAACGATCGGATAGGTCAGAATTCCTCGGAACCACTTCCACGGCTTTCTGATCTACTTTAGGAGTTTGTAAAAAAAAAAAAGATTCCAGAGGATTGTCTGAAAACAAAAACATCAAATTAGCAACTGGAAGTTTGTAAAAGACATTTAGATGATTCAAGATTTAAAATAAATCTGTACAGATGTAACGATCTCTCCCTCTACCCACACAAAAATTAACATTTTACTACTTTACTACTTTGTAACTTTACTACTTTTGGTCAAAAAGAAGTTATTTTAATCCATTAAGAGGGCGCTGGATTATTCTAGTGTATCATTAACAGAAGACTACGTTTACGACTCATTATAAAAGTGACACAGAAATCGACCTCTTGGAAAAGACGGCACCTAAGCCTGATGAATATGAAATGACTAAACGACTAAAATCAGTAGCTTTGTGCGTGTACCTGAAAAAGGGTTAAAGAGTGATACACTTAAAAACACTGCAAAATGTTAAAAAAAAAAAGTAACCTACCGTGTACGTGCATCTCTGTCTGATGTTGTCGGATTCTTCTCTTGAGGCGCAGGAGAAAATTTCAAAAGGTCAGAAAAAGGTCCAGAGGTCACGCAAATTCAGCAGCGTTTTCCACGTGTGGCCTCGACACATTTGTTGAGATTCAAATTCACCCGGAAATGGATATTACAGAGTTTCCAAATGAGGGAACAAACAACCGAACATGACGTAACAACCGAACATGACGTAACAACCAGTCACACAAGTTAAAAAGGCAAAAAATAACATCCCTCTGTTCATATTTACTTCCACCATCGAAACATTTTAAGCAATGTCTAACAAACACAACAAAAAAACCCCAGGATCTTTTCACATCGTGGTTATTAGACCGGGGCTGTTCCTGAAACTCTGACCTGAAACATTAAAAAACACTGTCATTCAGTTTAATTTCATCAATAATCGTAAAGAATAAACTATTAAAAAAACAGATATTAATTGAGAGGACAAAACATCCCAGTCTTTATTTGACTTAGGAATTTCTGCTCTCTTTGTCAGGAACGCCCTGCTGACTGTGACACCTGGAAACTGTCCAGCATCATCTGCTGTTCAAGGAGCAGCTCCAGCTAACCGTGGGGCGTGGACTTCCTGCTGCACGGCACCTCGCTGCTTTCACTTTTTCCACATTCAAACAATAGTACGAAGCAGAACCCACGTTTCAACATCCACCTTCCACAACTACTAGAGGAGTTCCCCCGGTCCCAACAAACACTGACGGAAAATAATAGTAAACATCTTTAGTTCAAAATGTAGTATTTTTATTATTATGTCGTAATAAAAATAATAATTTCAACTACTTAAATGAAACCTGAGTTCCCGTTTCAGCAAATATTTAAAAAGTCCCGACTGTTTTCGCAATATTTTATTTGTTTGTTAATTTTTTTTTCCTGAGGGGTTACAACATCACCCCTTCCAGCAGATGGCGCCAGCGTGGCCTATGCCAAGTGTCGTTTCTGCCCGACGACATATTTTCTATTACAGTTATTGATTAGAGAAAAGTTCTGTTTTCTGTAATCAATAATTAAAACAAATGTTTTTTTTTTGTTTTTGGGATTTGAACCAACATTGATAAAACACCCTGTTATTGTTGACCCAAACTCATACTCACACACACTGCATACGTTGTCTTTTACACCGTTTAATTAAAAAAAAAAAACTGTATGAAACACAGCAGAACCACGTTGTTCTGATGGACGTACAAATGACGTGATGGTGTGAATCTCAAGGCAACCGGTGTGAAAACAGCGGTGTGAAAAAGGAATGTTCGTAGATCTGGAGACATTTCTTTACACTTGGTTTAAAGTTTAAACCAAGAAGAGAAAAAAAGTCTCCGTCCAATTCAGTATCCAGATAGTATAAAACAAATACCTTTTTTTTTAAGGAAATATGAAGAAATACTTGTGTCAGAAATCAGTGTTGGTGATGATGTGAACCTGACTCATCAGTTCTTCCTCTTGCTTTTGCTGGTGGCCTTGGCTGGAGTCACGGCAGGGGGGGCGCTGTTGGTGGGGGGGCGGCGGACTA